TATCTCTTGCAAAAGAACCTCTTTTCCAAAACCTTTAGCACAGCCCTGTGCTCGTTCTCCTGCTGCAATCGAATGGAGTGACCATTTAGACTTCGCTTTAAAGTGGTCAGGGGTGCAAACCGCGCCCCAAGTGCCTCGCCCACTGCGTAACGGGGCTGTTAGTCAGAATAAAGCGGGGGGGGGCAAAGTCTTCTCTGGGCGCAGAACCGTCTGCATCCAAAACTTGCACTAACTCCACCACACTAAGGGGTGCTGGATGACATTCTTTCTTCCAGCACCACTCTCTGTCCTCAACCTTGGAGAAATGAGGTGAGCCACTTTAAGACTACCCCCATAAACTCCTATGTCGGTGAGGCAGTGGGTCAAGAGATTGTGATCAACCATGTCAAACACTGCTTTGAGATCTAACAGAAGCAGCAGCACCGACCCGCCTTGATCCAGCAGTCTTCACAAGACCAAGAACACACAGCTGGGATACTGCTGAGCCCAGCTGAAAAGCACATAAAATAAACACTCAAGCACTCATGCTGCATTTGCAGAGTAACACAGAGTCAGGAGATGACTGCGTGCCTGACCAGCCACGCCCACTCTTCTCCTTCTGGAAAAGAGGTTCTTTTTCTTAAAGGCAAAGGCACCCCATATGGTCTTAATACGTATTCTACCAGAAAGGTCTGCAGGCAGTTTATCAGTTAATGCATCCTTCAAAATCTCATCAAGAATGCCTCTCGCCTTTCTGTTCTGTAGTGAGGGCACAGGGAAGGTTGCAGTGACGCGAAAAATCTGCTGCCGCCATTTGTCCATGCTTGGAAGAGCCAACCACAAGTTGAAGGTTGCATAAAAGTTACACCCACCACTTGCAACCGAGCGCAAACTTTCCCTTCAGTGTATTCAGGATAGACCTATCTCTTGCAAAAGAACCTCTTTTCCAAAACCTTTAGCACAGCCCTGTGCTCGTTCTCCTGCTGCAATCGAATGGAGTGACCATTTAGACTTCGCTTTAAAGTGGTCAGGGGTGCAAACCGCGCCCCAAGTGCCTCGCCCACTGCGTAACGGGGCTGTGAGTCAGAATAAAGCGGGGGGGGGCAAAGTCTTCTCTGGGCGCAGAACCGTCTGCATCCAAAACTTGCACTAACTCCACGGAAATCCACCCCTGTCAGTTGCAAAGCCACCTCGCCTCTGCCTCCCCCGCTTTCCCCACCCCCAGTCTCCACATAACCTCAGGTGGAAACGTGCCTTGGAAACGAGCTGAGCAGCAGGGCTTTTGGTGAGTGAGGTGAGGCTCGGGGAGGGGTGGGGCAGCAGGCAGGCCAGCGTGGCCCCTCTGACAGAGGAGGAGGCAGGAGCACAGCACAGGGGCGAGCAGGGTGGCAAGGCAAGACAAAGGGCAGGGCAGCAGGCAGGGCAGCGTGGTGCCTCCTTTAATGCAGGCCAGCGTGGCGCTCCGATGCAGTTGCCTTACCCCACCTTATGGAAGATCCAGCCCTGCCACAAGCACATCTTTTTGGTCCACAATTTCCATTACACAAGCCCCAGCATCTAATTTGGCTTTTCATGCAGTTTAGTTTTCAGAACTTCACTTGTGTGCTTTATGAACTTGGGTATTTGTGTTGTAAGGCAGTCATTATTGGCACTGTTTCTCCATCTTCTTCTTCCCCGTGCCTCCAGCTGGTGTAATATGAAATGAAGATGGGCTATGTTTGTGTTAATAGCTCAACACAGTCATAGGAAGCAAAATACTTCTCTTATCTGCCTAAGAACATTTGGTGAATGCTTTGGATTCCACTCTCTTACTTTGTATGTGGGTTTCTTGAAAGGGAAGAAGATTGAAATGAAAGGCTGAACCTGTCCTTTATGGAGATTGGGTATGGTATTAAAAAACAGTACTATTAGGTCTGCAAAGATTCATGTATACATGCAGAGTTAGCATTTTGTAATTTTGCTATCTCCCACCCTACCCTGGGAAAATACAGAATTGAACCTTAATATCTGTTTTATACATCACATCAATATATCTATTTATATATCATCAATATATATCTCCATACAGGGTATGATTAATAGAGCAGCAAAATGAAGCTAGGAACCGACAGGGAGAATTTCTCTTTAAATTTAAAAGGTATCCCAAGCTTGCAGAACGATCTGAAATCTTGAAAAAAAAAAAGTTGGTTGATTAAAATCCCTCCAAATAATAGAAACAACACCTAACTTTAAGAAAGGAATGCTACTGGTACTGTCAGTGGCTGTTATGGGTTGCTAGGCAACCACAGCAACATTGCCAAGCCTTGGTTTCTGTAAAGCAAAGGGGGGGGGGAGAGAGTGGTCTTGGAGACCGGAACACTCCTAGAAAGGGCTCTTTCTGCCACTGGCTTGTCCCCTCGTGGAGGACTCATCAGGGACAGGCCCAGCAGTAACTACTGAAAACTCATAACCTACACAACTCAGCCTGGCCTGGTAGTGGTGGTGGTCACTGTACAGCTCAGTGTCAGCCACTGTGCAGCCCAGCCAGATTTTTCCAGGGGAGAGGTTACTGGATAGAAAGGAAAGGAAAGCTGAAGAGGATAAAGCGGAAGCTGGTGTTTGGGAAGAGAGGAGAAAAAAGCAAGCCTGTTGCTGGCAGCCACTAGACTACTTGGCCAGACTATTCCTGGATAGAGGCTGCCAAGGGGAGGGAAAGCTGAAGATAGGGGAAGATAAAGGTCAGTTGGCTGGTGGATGAGAAGGAGGTAGGAAAAGCGGAGAGGCTATGGGGGCTGTCCAAAGGAGGGGAAAAGGAAATAGTTGGGAGGAGAAAACGAGATGCCCCCTGCAAGTCACTGCAGGTCCCCACGTGTACCTTTTTCTAAAACACTGATAATTAAGAAAGTCAGGAGTCATCTGATGTGGCCAAATTCAATTGCATCGATAACAGGACTTTACTTGCAGTGCAGCTTTCTGCTTTCTTGAACTGTACCATTGGGAGGTTCTAGAAACCTTCATCAAACATGTTTTTCCTTCTGCCATCCAAGGCAGTTTTGCTTTAGATCAGATCCTATTTTGCTCTTCAAAGCAATCTCTCATTTCTTTTCCAGAGTCCATAATACAGAGCAATGGATCCTCTCTTCCCATCTACTCCAGTTTGTTTTGTAAGTTTCCTACAATTTCTCACGGTCTGTGTCTCACAAAATGCAAAATAATAAAATAAAATGCTTTTTTTATTGTACACTGGTGTTATTTTGTTTTTATGTAGAAATGGTAATAAAAAAACAGCTTGTGATTTTTGGACCTGGATTCACTCTTTCTGAAGGCTTGTGTTAGATAAACTTTAAAGTCCAACTTGTTTTCTGGACTCTGTTGGTGAAGGCATTGTAAATCTCAAGGTAGTCCTTTCAGTTGCTGCCCAAGACCTTTGCTCCACTTGGTTCTAGTTATCTGAACTGATTCAAGGGCAGGATTTGTTAAGAGAGTGCCTGTATTTGCACGCCTGCCTTGCATAATCTCTCTTCCACATACACTCCCTTAACCTTTTTTTTTTAGTGCTTAATCTTTATTCTCCACGCTTGCATAACTTTCCCTCTCTTTTTTGCTTCGTCATTGTGTGTGAGCAGTGTACATGTCTTAATCTCTTGGAAAATAGTACAGACTTTTTTTTTTAATGCAGCAGTTAATATTGTGTGAGATTTTGAGAATGTTGCTAGGAGATCCTCAGTTGGGGAGACAGCCTGCCCACAGTCAGACTGAGGTGCTGGGGCAACTTTCTGGTGGGAGGGGCATCAGAAAGAATAGTGTGTGATTCCTCCATATTCTTTTTAGTTGTGAGAATGCTATTTAATTGGTGGTGGCAGGGTGAAGCTGAGTAGAACAATTATACTTCGCTGCTACCAGGTGACTTGCCCATCAGGAGATCAGGGCAGGGTGCAGGGATCGCTAAGGCAATTTCCTATTTTGTGGTGGTCGGATGCAAATCTATCTGGCCCATTTTGGCCCTGCTAGCGTTGGCTGAGTTTTGTTGGTGCAGGTGGGGACAAAAAGAGTGAGGAGAAAAGCACATAAAAACAAAGAAAGAGATAAACAGCATCTGTAGGTGTTGGAGCTATGATTTAAGGAAGTTGTTGTTCCTGTTTTACAATGGGGGGGCACTGATACCCTGGAATATAAATGCTACCTCCATGTTTTTGTGTGGGCCCTTTCAAAATCACCAAGAGCTAATTTAGATCGTTGGTTTAGATCAAGTTTCGCATTTTGAAATCCGTACGTTTTCTGATCAAGCATGCCTTGGTTGTCCCAAGAATCTGAAAATAATTGATTTGCATCTAACAAGAGCACTCATAACTTTCCTGAAGCAAAGAGATTGGTAGTTTTTGCACAAAAGCAGAATTTTTCAATAAGCTGTAAAGTAAATACCCGAGCTGTATGGTTAGAACAATAAAGATTCTTAACTTGAGAGCTGTTTCCTTTACGGAAAATTGTTGATGAAGAGCATGCAATAGGGCTGTGTCAGTTCTAATTCTGGTGAAGTGCTGTTTATCCTAAGTGTCTAGGATGATCTGCTCGTCCCTGGGTCTAGTGGGAAATCCATAATATGAAGCATGACTTACTGTATCCTGTAACAGGTCACCATTTAAAATGTATTGCTTAAAAATATTTTCTTGCATGCATACAGTCATACAGTCTGCATTACCTTCAGTCATACAGTGAAGATCCTTGTGCTATGGTGGCAGTTGCTGCTGAAGCAACTTTTAAAGAATCTGCACAGCCAATCAGAAACAGTACGGAATGTGGGCAGTGAGTACCAGGTACACTGGGCATCTCTGGACAGCACTACTAAGAAGTAGTCATTGGAGAAATCCGGTTTTATTGTGGGAAGGTATAGAGATGAATGAGGAGATGTTTAATATTCCATAATAGTATCTCAACAAAATCCAAGTTCTCTATAGTTTACGGAGACCCTACAACACTGATTTACCATAAAAGTATACACATCTTAAATATGACTATTTTGTGGTTGTTGGTGTTTTTTTTAGCACCCCGGTGGTGAAGAAGTTCTAAGGGAACAAGCAGGTGGAGATGCTACGGAAAACTTTGAAGACGTCGGCCATTCCACAGATGCAAGAGCATTGTCAGATACATTTATTATAGGGGAACTTCATCCAGTGAGTACACCTGTTCATGGATAGGCTTATGTTTTTCATAGCTTTCATATCTTGATAGACGCACCCAGCTTCAAGAGATTGCAAAACAGCCTCTTCTAGTCTTGCCAGAGTACTATGTGCTCGGAGCTCAGTATATGTCGCAAAATCTCAGCAATGACAAATGTGTTAGTTGGTTGTTGGTTTTTTTTTAAGTGTCAATTCAGCTGTAGACTGAAAGGGCTTCCCCTCCCATTGCTGGATCCCTGCATGACAAGTGGCAAAGTTCATTGGTGCTTCTTTGCAATGTCACTCACATATCTCTGTCAGGTTTTGTCACTCCACACTGGCATATCACAGTACTGTGTTAGGTTGAAATCTGGGATTGTGGAAAGCAGTTTGGTGTAGTAGTTAAGTGCGTGGACTCTAATCTGGGAGAACCAGGTTTGATTCCCCATTCCTCCACTTGCACCTGCTGGAATACCTTGGGCAAGCCATAGTTCTGGCATAGCTGTTCTTGGAAAATGAGCAGTTTCTGTCAGAGCTCTCTCAGCCTCACCTACCGCACAGGGTGTCTGTTGTGGGGAGGGGAAGGGAAAGGAGTTTGTAAGCCACTCTGAGACTCCTTTGGGTAGTGAAGGGCGAGGTATAAATCCAATCTCTTCTTTTCCTCTCTTGTTTAAAGGGGGGAAAAGTGAAGTAGCGAAGGTATGCATTCTGAGATTTCTACTTTTTCAGAGGGCTACCCTGTTTTGCGCAGGCCATGATGGCACATATCTGCCATGTGGGGGTTCCAAATGGGCTCTCGTGTGCTGCATGGTTTGCTGGGTTGGATGCACTCCAGTCCCACATCCAAAATTATGCAGGCAGAGAGATGGACTCTGCACTTGGCAGATGACTCCGACAAGGGTAGGGGACATGGAAAGGGGGTGGAATCACCTTCCCTTTGTGCTAAACTTCACAAACACTTGAAAACAGCCACATGTTTTTTTTCTGCTTGTGTGCCCTCAAAGTGTTGTGCAAGATTACTGAATAGGCCCTTCCTGGGTCCTCAGCACAGTTCTCTGTGTTGCACAGACAACTGGGAACTATTATTTGTGGATCGCTGATCTTGAGGTGTTGCTTTGGGCTGAACATGTTAAATACGGTGGAACCCAAGCATGCCCTTTCTGCCTCAGAAACAAATGCTTCTGAATTCAGTGCATTTCTGTTCAAACCAGTTCTGCCATGTTTAAAATGTGGCATCAGCCTTCGTTCTTATTGTTCTTTAGTATGAACTAGTAAGAATTTTTAAAATTACTTTTGTGAGCCAATAGTAGGAATGGGCACGAACGGGAAAAATGCAGTTCATGTTGGTTTGTGACTGAACCATGAACCGTGCTGCGAGGTTCATTCGTGAACTGAATTGGTTCGCGATTCATGGCCCTGCAAACCCCGTTTCAAGGGACCACAGTCCCTTGAAACATGGTTTGCAGAAAGCCAAAAAACAAAACAAAACAGCCGAGCAGCAGGGAGCAGCCTTTTCCTTGCTGCTCAGCTGTTTTGGGCTTTCTTCTGCAGTCACTTTAAAGGAAAAGGCGATCTCTGCTGCTCAGCTGTTTTCCTTTCTCGTGCAGTCTCTTTAAAGGGCCCGCACAAGAAAGTCCAAAAAACAGCTGAGTGGTGGGAGGCTCTCCTGGGCACTCAACTGTTTCTCTTTCTTGTGCAGTCCCTTTAAAAGTAATTCACTAGAAAGCAGGGTGGATTAAAAAAACAATGATTTTTTAAAAATTGATTTTTTAATTTAAATCAGGTTTTTAAAAAAAAATTAACTTGGATTTTAATAGAATGCCTTTTGAGGAAAAATCTTAGTTTTCTATTCAAGATACATTATAGTCCAAAGGTTTTTCATCATGAAATACAGATTAGTTTTAAATTATGTAACATGAAGCTGCATATTCATGCAATGTCTAAATTTTTTGGTAAATGAATTCCACTAATCCATTCACAATGTCATGCTCTTCCAGAGGTTTCTGTAAGATTATTTTGGGCAATTTTTCTACCTAGAAGGTATTATCACATGCTTAATTTTGCAGTTCTCAAAACTCTGAATTTGTGTCTACGGAGATAACATGCCTGTTCTTCACAGCAAGAATGTTGTAAAATAAACATACAGAGTTGAGAAAAAGACCTTGTTCCTCTGCACGTCTGTGTACATAGAATTAATCCTTTAGCTTTTAAGTGGTAAGTTTCAAGAAGTTCATGAATAGAAGATTGTTGGGAGTGGAATAGATCTGCACAAGGAGCTAAGTGTGAGGAGGGAGGAGCAAGCAGTTTAGAGCAGAATACTTTGCAAGTCTTGGGATCTATGTGTGTATAGCTGTGGTGGCGAACACATGGCACGTTTGCCAGAGTGGGCACTCGGAGCCCTCTCTGTGGGCACGCACAGCATCGCCCCAGCGCAGAGTTCCTCCCCGCTTTGAAAGGAGCCCTCAGTTGGGCCAGGAGGAACGGGAGGCAGCACATGCTTCCTCTGCTTGCCGTACTGCTGCCAGCAAAAGCGTAAGTTGCTGGGGGTTTGGGGGGCAGGGTCTTGTTTTAGGTGGGGTGGGTGGAAGTGGCTTGGGTGCAGGGCGCCTTGGGTGCTGGGAGCGGAGGTTTGCTTCGGGTAGGGAGGATGGGAGGCGAGGGCGCTTCGGTACGGTCTGGCGGGGACTGTTTTTTGGGGGGAGTGGCCCTGAGCCCCTGCGCTGCAAGCCTCTTTGGCGCACAGGCGCGGGCTGGCAGGAGTTTTTGAGTGGGGTAGGTGGCCGCGAGTGCCCGGGCTGCAGGCTGTCCAGGCATTCTGGTGGGGGCTTTTTTTTCGGGTGGTGGTGGCTGCGAGTGCCTGGGCTGCAAGCTGCCGTGCCCGGGCGCTCTTGTGCATGGCTGGCTGCGAGCCCCTTGCGCTGCAGGCCTTTTCGGCGCACAGGCACGGGCTGGCGGGAGCTGTTTTTCTGAGGGATGGGTAGGTGGCCGCGAGTGCCCAGACTGTCTCTCTGCCCCTCTCTCTATCTGTCTTTCTCCCCCCATCTCTGTCTCTCTCCCTCCTCTGAATTTCTCTTTCTCTCTGTTCCCCTCTCTCACCGTCCCCTCTGTCTCTCTTCCCCCTCTCTGTCTTTCTCTCTGCTCCTTTGTCTGTTTGTCCCCCATCTT